ATGGAACTAGAAGGTTTAGTTCATAGTTGCCTTTGAGAACAAAACTTGCCTGCCCTGGAAGAATGATAGTGAGGTGTAAAACAGATGGACTTACCTGCTCGAGTCTTCAAGGGCTTTTACTCTTCATAAGCACAGAGCTGTTGCTTTCTTTCTGCCCTGACAGTTACATGTGCATTGCATGCAATTGTCCCTTCCCTTTTGCTCTGGCACAGCTCTAGAAGCCCTTTTCTCTGAAATCCATCCTCTGCCCTTGAAGTTCTCTAGTCTCCATTCACAGGGGTCTCAGCTTTTGCTCACACCCCTCAGCTTGGGGCTGGCAGATCCCTCCTTGCCCTCTCTTCCCCAGCAGCATCTGGAGGATGCTGGAGATTTATGAGCTTTGCTTTTATTATTTTTATTATTTCTGAGCTCTGTTTTGCTTTGTAATGCACTGGGGTGGGACTGACTGTAGCCTTTCAAAAGGAAGTCTAAGAGCAAAGAGCTCTGTTCTTTGAATGGCTTTGTCCTTCTCTTTCATTTTGCCTTTCTCATTTTGAACAGAAGTACATGTTCAAATGTCCCCACCCATACATTGCACAAACACACTGCTCAGTGTTGTACAACCCAAAAGCCAGAGGGAGTGACAAACCACTTAATCTTACATGCCCAAAGCAAGGTGACTACACTGTTGGAGGAAGATCTCCAGCAAACACTGGGATTATTGCAGTCATGCTAAAATTTGTCAGCTGCCTTCCTTTGGGAGCTATACAATAATTTCAAGTCATCAGTCTTCTCACTGATGGGTCCCCACAGTCCTCTGACCAGCTTCTGATTTGCAATGGCATGGATGGTTTTCCCATTCTCCTTCAAGGAGTGACACATCGTGTTGCATGTCTTTGTTTCCATAAGAAACACCTGCTGTGTTACCATAGCTCCTCCAGCTCCAAGATAGCACAAAGCAGTGTCAGCACACACAAACTCATACGGCAGTGGGTGGGACGCAGCAGCGTTGTTCTCCATTGCAAGTGGCTCCAAAGTTTCCATGGAAACATTTGTTGTTCCACAGCATCATTTATTTATTTGTTTATTTATTTATTTTTGAGTCCATTTTTTGTTCTGATCCTTTGGATTCTATTTCCTGATGCTCAGAGCTGTATTAATGGCTTACACAGCAAAGCTACCCTAAGGAATTTACCCAGTGTCACAGTCCCTTTGATGAGACACCAGTGGTCATTTTTCCCCCTCGAGTTCTGGTGCAGCTATTCAAGAAGTATTGCAGCAGCATCTCATTTGTATGGATAGAATTCTGTTACACAGATAAAGTGATAATCCCCCATTACTAGAAGCTAATTAATTTAATTCTTGAGTGTTCTTTGAGGTAGCAACTGGAAATAAAAGGACTGAGATTGATAGAAGGGGAAAAAAGAATGTTAGGATCTATCAGATCTTTCTCTCTGAGTCTGCTTTGAAGGAGATTGTGTGCTCTTTGCAGACTGCCATATTCAGAATGCCAAGGTTCCTCACCTGAGGAACAGTTAATGTTATTTGGAAAGTCGTGTAAGAGAGGAGGAAAGGAATTAGGGAGGAGTATAGGCATGCCAGTAATGTCACAACTAGATATTTATTGCTATTTTCTCCAGCAGTTTTGTTTAGCACAAGTGAACATTCACGAGTGTGACTATGAACATGTGCCCATATCTGCACATACTGTACATTAACCGTTCCATACTCATAGCACACAGCTGGCAGAGGTGCAGGACTGGTTTTACTATGGGCAGACATACCTTTGTTGAATTGAGTGATATATGTGACAGAGCCCCTTATGTCAGCCAGAAAGAATCACACGTTCAGAGTATGTTCCCAGGAGAAGTAAAACCAGCAAACCCATTTTTGCAGGTGTTCCAGGTGCAATATACAGATCAATTCTTTGCGATCTAGAGGAAGAAAAAAGCTCTCAAGCCCAGAGTTTATTGCTCTCTACTCAGAAGAACTTTAGGAATAAAAGGTCTAATCTTTTCTCCATTGCCTTGAATGGAGACTGAAAAGCACATCCTGCGAAGGATGAAAGAAGAAAGCTTGTTTCCTCCAAAATCCTGCACCTTCTCTGTTGAAAGATCTGCAGTGTTAAGCAAAGGGAGATCTGATGTGAATACACTCAGCTTGATTCATGCAAATTGCTTCCACTGCTATTAACGAGCAAAGGCAGTGTGTGTGTGTGCGCACGCAGAACAGTGCAGAGGGAGGCATCCCCAGGCCTCGGTGCAGGTGCACATCCTCTGCAGCGGATGGGTTAAGCATCCCACACGGCTGTGCGCTGGGGAAGGCAGGCTGTGCTGGCATGGAAATGTCAGCCTGCAAGCAGGCGTTAACCTACTTCCATCAGAGAGGCTGGGAATGGCCCTGGTGTGCATTCCCTGATCTCTCCTTGCGTTCATAAGCCGTGGCTGAAGAGGAGATTTATTTTCTGTGAGTCTGAAAGTGTGACTGAATACTCATCGGGAGGGTTGTTTTGTGTTTCGAGGCTGCGGCTTCCCTGCTGTATTTCATGTTTACAGTTTATGATACACTGAATCCTTTGGTGCCTGGTTCTCAACTCTGCAATAGAAATGTCACGAAATCCACTGCAGTATGTGCTGTCTTGATTTTTCCAACCACTTGCTAATGCTTTCAATAAGGTTTAAATCACAGCTCTCCTGGAGAATGCTTATTATGGAATTCTGTCATCTATGGCTGTGGGTTTTATTCCTTCCCACTAACTGCCATAATGCTGCCTTTTGGGTCCCACCAAAGCGCGCACGCTCAGCAAGCAGCATTAGCAAGGCAAGGTGATTTGGTTAATGTGTGTTCCCTTGTCCATCTCCTCCAGATTCCTCATGAGCATATTGTATCGTAGTTCATTGCCTTTTTCCAGGCCAACATGTCCTTTCAGTTGCTTATAATCTCTGTAGGCTTAAAGAGAAATAAAAAGCATGTGGTAGTTTTGCATATTCAGTAGGAACTTCTCTATTTTGTTGGCTACCAAATACCCTTACAAAGTGAGCATCCCGGTAATGCAGTGGAAGACTTAGCATTATTCCATTATATGAACACGCAGTACTGACCTTCTTTTCCTCATAGCAACAGAAAATGCATCATAATTAGAGATAGGTGTCATAACAGACAGAAGGGAACTGAAAGGCTCCAGATCTCTCCAGAAAATAGCCTAATAATCCTGATGAGGGTTCTCTCTACTGCAGTACCACCATAGAACCATTTGAGTTGGAAGGGACACTTAAAGGTCATCTGGTCCAACTCCCCTGCAATGAACAGGGACACCCACAGCTCAGTCAGGTTGCTTGGAGCCTGGTCCAGCCTGATTTTGGTTGTCTCCGAGAACAAGCATGCTATGGCTTCTCCACTGCCTGGTATTCTAGGGGTTATTTGCATTTATTTCTCTCAAGGTCAGACTTGGTTTAGATCCAGGGGCTCTATTTTGAAAGAGAAATATGGAAATCTACCTGGTAAGGAGAACAGAGGAATACTGTGAGCTCCTGTATTTTTGCAGGGAGTTTCTCCTCCTGCAGCAGTATGTCATTGGAATAATGAGGCAGCGTGCTGCTTGACTGTGCGGTGGCCAGATCAGCAGGGATTTCAAGAGATAAGTAATTCTATTTGATTTTGAATCCAGGAATGATAATTTACATTCTTTTCCACTTTAGAGAGAGAAAGGGAGTCTGAGCTATAATTAGAGTTTTTTTTCCTGTCTGCTTTGGTCTTCTGTTCCTGTTATTGTCTGGAAACGGTGGCAGCAGCAGCCTTAAAAGCAGGGAGTCATGACAACTGACTCTTCCTGGAGTAATTTGGGTTGCTAGAAGGAAAAAAAGAAATACCCCTGAAACACAAGTGCCTGAAAAATGCAATTAGATCAGAAAACTGAGGCAGAAGTATGACAGCAAATGGCTGGGAACCACCTGTGAGTTGGGGGCTTATCTTTCTGCTCTGCTTCTGGGCTTGGTCTTCCAGTGGTAAAGAACAAAAGCAAGCTGGAATCATTTATGTCAGCTGAGGGTCTAGCTTCATGCCTTTGGATAAATAAATGCCCACACAAACAGCTAATTAATTGCAGGAGGAGTGTCTTGCATAAGAACACTTTAATGACTTGGAGGAAACGCTGCACTGAATTTCACAGGGTGAGATCTCAATCAATTAGCAGTTTTGAAGATGCTATGCTGAAACTCCATGTCCTTGTAGCACTGCACAGGAGTGCTCAGTGCCTGCCTTTATTGCATGAATTTGAGCTTCCAATTGACAAAGTTACCCCCAGCAGAGAAACATTTGACCCAAATGTTAGATTGCAAACAAAGGAAGAAACACTTTGAGGCAAGCAGTCTTCTGAACAGCTGCGATTTGGTTTCTGCCTAGCATAGCAGGAAATGTTTTATTAATCTCCATTCTTGCTTGTATCTTTCACACTAATAACTAAACTTTGTAGTTATCCCTAACCCTTCACAGGGGAAATTGTTATTCATTGCACACACACTGACCAGGTGAATCCTTGTAAGTCCCATAAGGCATAACAACCATATAGTTTAGCCAGCTCACAGGTGCTAAGAAAGGAGAGCCCAAACCCATCTATGGCTTTCTGGTAACTTCCTTCCAGCTAGATTCCACATCTTCCATGTCAGCATAGCATTAGTGCTTTTGTCTTGCAGGTGAGTACCAAAACCTTAGGTATGAGCAGCCAGGACTCCAAACTTGTGTTCACCTCCTAACCAACAGGTGATCCAGTATCTGTTATCGTATCTGTGAACTGAGTTTAAGCAGTCTTCTGCTCTTCCTCTGTGGTCCTCATTCTTTTGAAATAGCACTACCTGTCTGTTCAGTATGAAGGGTGTCATGTGGGAGACCCCATATGGAAAAAACCTTTGCAGTTTCCATAAACATCCAGTTTATAATTTACTAAAAGCAACCAGGAAAAAAAATATTTCGAGAATGACTTTATCTTCAACTAACTCCAGATGTAAAAGGCTCCATGGCTGTGTGTCAGGATTGGAAAAAAAAATGAATAGAACACTGTGAATTAATTTTTCTAATGAGCTTTGCAGCCACATTATGCACTTCAGCATCTTCAAACAATTAAACTACAGTGCTATGCGAGGGGACCCCAAGTGCCACCCTTTGACACAGTGCTCCTAAAGGACCCTCCAAAGAGTTTTGTCTCCCCTTTAATTTCTTTCCACTGCAAGGCAGAGAATATATTGTTTGGTCACTTCACCAACTGAAAAATGATGTGCAGTGTTAGTTGCAATGGTATTTTTGTAGCTCTCATTTATTCTCCTATCCAGACAGCAAAGGCAAAGCAGTAGCAGTTTATAGAGCAGAGAACATTTTTACTCAGTTCTCTTAAATCTTTTTAGCAGCCCTTGAGCAAAATGTTTATACTGTAAACAAAATTTAGTAAACAATTCAGAAGAGTTATTGTGACAACCTGTCTGTCCCTCCTGAACCGTTGTATTTCTATCCCATTCATTCCTCACACCTACTGCTGCTGACCGTCTAGCCCATATTTACCTGTAGTGCTCTCTGCAGTCTTAAAATATTTCATGTTGATTTACATCTGTTTCTCTTCTATTGTCTTTGGCTGCTGGATTTTTTTTCTTTTTGTAAAGAGGATGAAAAATGCTAACTGATTTTTCACTGCTCATGACTAAGAAGTGGGTTAGCGACATGAATAAGCCCTGCACGTTTGACTGTGACCAGGTAAAGCCATGAGCAAGAGATGCACATTCTTCCCCAGAGCTCTTCAGCCTCCAGTTGTCAACCCTGCTGAGCTGGTGAGCGTCACTCCTGCTTTCATCCTGCTTCCCCATTCTGTGTGTCACAGCCCCAGTCAGACCTCACTGCTGCTCAGCGTGGTCCTTCAGCGTGCAGGTCCTGCAGAGTCTAGGGGCTGTTAGGCTGATATTCAAGGAGAAGAGCAATGGTAAAAGAGTAGAGCATGCCACAGGATTACAAAAGTCAAGCTCTGTCACTGATACTCTGATAGAAAGTGAAAACATTCACATGAACCTTCTGCACAGCCAAACTGCTTTAATAATAAAAGAAAACCCACTTTTTAATCTGAGCTCTGTGGAATTAAACCTCCACCAGAAACCACCTCTGACACTAATCTTCAAGCAGAGGCTTGCATCTGTTCCTTCTTTCAATGTGGTTTTCTTCAGCTGAGGTCATCCATATAGAAGCAAAGTTTTGTAGGCAGAAAATAGAGCAATTACCAGCACTGTGAAATAGCAACTCTATTTTTGTAAGCCAGGGAAGTGTGGCTAATTGCAAGTGACTTCCCCCTTCATCATCAGCTCTTAAGCACCAGGATGGCACTTGGGAAACCGGGGTTCTCAGCTCAGTTCAGTTATAGACTTATTGGGTGAATGTGGACAAGTCAGCAATGAGAGCTGAGGCTGAGATCCTCAGTTTTTAGCTCCAAGTAATGGAGTGAGGCAGAATCCTGGTCCCAGACACTCCACATACCAGGATTTCAGCACAGGAGGAAGCAGAGTCTAGAAAGCCTCTTTCTTCAGCTGTACAGTCCCTGACTAGTCCATGACAATTCCACTTCATATGCATTTCTCAGGACAATTCTGAGAAAAGTAGCACTTGGAGTCCTGGGGTACTCTCTGCTGGACAGACAGATTTATCCACTCCAAACATTTACCTCCTATAAAAACAAAAGAAACAAGCCTGCCATTCTGTCCAGTCTGTCCCATCTCTATCAGCTGGTTAAGTGGGCAGCTAATTTATTTTGTGTTACATTCCATTATGAGTAGAGGATTGATGCCTGGAAGTATTTTAATGGCACTGTTGACCTTGATAATAAAACTGTCTATTCTAGTTCACAGTGGTAATGACATCCAATACCTCCTGATGCTAGTGGAGAGGCCTATCTTCCATTCTGTCTTCCTTCTTACATCAGTGCTATCTGCCCATCCACTAGCAGTTATTTCAGGCTGTAGTGATGCCCAGAACCATTTCCGCATTCTCTCTTGCAACTTGCTGGGTGCTCAACACCATATGACTCTGACAGCTGCAACTGCTACTAGCTGCTATCTCAGGCCTGTGCATAATTTGGAGAACAATTTACATAATTCTAAAACCTAAAAATACCTCAGCACGAATGAAATGCATTAATATGTGCTGTTCTAACGGGTATGGAAATGGTCGCCGCTTTCCCTGTGCACTCTGAAACAGGGATTCTCAATGCTTCTTCTTCATCTGACAGGGCTGACATTTGTAAGGGATATTTAAGGACAGCAGAACAAGCGATAATTACCCTTAACATGCATCACAGGCGTTTTGTCAAATGATTGGAGAAGCGCCTTCCAGAACAATTAGCTGTCTGAAATAGCTGAGCCCCTGTCCTTTACATGTTGACTAAAAAGGACGTGAAGTCAAAAGATCAAGGAAGAAAATACAGATCCCCACCTGGGGGCCCACCTGTCCACCCATTTCCATCCTCAGCCTGCTGATAATGTTCACCCACCCCACTTTTCTCAGTTAATTATCATGCATTTTTCATGTCTCCCTGGTGGAGCATAGGGAATATCTGTGACCTTTTCACTTCCACGTACCAATCACCCTCGCAGGTCATGGCAGAACAGTCTGTAACAATGCAAGCTTTCCTGTGCTACCAAGGCAGCAGCTAATACTGTTTGGACCAGCACTAAAATGCATAAGTTAATTACATTCAGCAATGCTCTGGACACTTAACCCACCTAGATCTGCTGGAGGTCATGGTGACTTTAACACTTCCCCACAACAGTGATCATGGAACTGGTGATGAAAGGTTCTATCCGTATTCTGCTGTTGACTTCCCAGCACACTGCTTGGGTCCAGGAGTTTGCTTGCAGAAGAGGCTACACTATGTGATTTTGGCCTTCAGACTTTCCTCCTTTGAAATCTAAAGGTCTGTAAGAGATACAGCCAAGGAGTAGCAGCAAACCATATGAACTCCTGCTATCTTTAAATAAGCATCAAGATGCACGTGCTAGCTATGCACATAGGCTGTAGGCTTCAGGACTGAAGCTGCCTTGTATGTATGCAGCAATTCTTAAGAAGCAAAAGGTATGTGGGAAATTACCATTTTCAGGATCAGTGTATCAAACTGAAAATGATGAAGCAGACAAAGGACCAATCAAAAGCAGAGTAAAAATGACATAGTTATTGCACCCCTTGCTGTGATGCCCTACTCACAGATGTGAGAGTGTCATAGACGTGCAAGAGCATAGACTGCTCTGACAAAGAGTCAAAACCCTGATTGCTGAACTCAACCAAAAATCTGGCCCAAGCTGTTCAATCAATTTGAGTGTGTTTCAAAGCTGGCTGTAACCTTCACTGGGCTGAGACTTTCATGAGGGGAGTCTCTGTTGTGATAGGACAGTAGTCAAGTGGTTTTGTCAATTGGAAGATGCCTAGACAGCTGCTGCTGAACTTTGCAGGAGTATCCAAGTACAGTACATGGGCTTAATTATCCCTCTTTCCCATACAAAGCTAAAGATTTTCTTTGTGAATATATTTGCTTGGATAGGCTGCAAAGTTTCTTAACTATGTTCATCAAGAATGTAGTTCTGGCACCAAAACTGCCACAGGCATGCAGCCATGCAGTTTTCTCAACTTAATAGTACTGCACTCATATCAAAGCCTCAAAGTGCTCCTTCTGCTGTGCTAGTGAATCTTTTAGGAATACAAAAACCATGTAACTGATTGCAGTGGAAGACAACAGCTCAAAATACTCATAAAACCTTCTGAGCTAAAATCAGTTCATGTGTCAGAAGATACCATCTCCATTTATTGATTGATTTGGGCTAGAGCTTGTCTCTTTTGCTTCTATCAGACAGAGCCCAGCAGAACAGGAACTCAGCTCAGGGTGTTCCCAGAAATAAAAAAACAGAACAACAACAAACAACATTTTGCTGTCACTCAGTGTGCCAAAAACTGTGACAATTTAAACCAGGACAAACTGTTTACCTTTTTCTCAGAGGCAGTGGACTAGTATTTTACTGAGAATAGCAACTACTTGAACAAAAGCATATTAATCTTGTTTGATTCGGCACTCCCTACCTTTCTTTGTCCCCTGCTTCCTTAGAACTCATTTGGCAAAATCAGGAATTTGTTCCCCCTGGTGACAGAGCATGTTATTGTTGAGTCTGCTTGTGTATAATGGAGACACAATTGGAACTGCTGTCAAACTAAACCGGTCTAGGAAACAGGGAGATTGACTTCTCCTAGATTAATCTATTTTGCTCTTTTTCCTAATACTTTTCATTTCCTGCTTCTCAAATCAATGTTTTCTCCTTCCATCTTTAGTAGCCATAGGTAACTCTGTGGAAGTCAGCTGATTTACAAAGACATCAAAAAGCTGTAGAGAAAAAAATCAGACATTTTAGTGATTGCCCTTCATGCTATTGATGTGTTTGCTACATTCTTCTGCCTGTGGTGCATGACTTGCAATCCTTTTGTACCATCACTGAGAGTCACAGCAGTTGATGAAGTTGTGCTTTATTACAAGCATTTGTTTTCTTTCTTGCTAACGTGGCCAGGCTGATTCTCATCCCACTTGTACTGGTTTTATAGTGCTTTATGACAGTGATCACAACAACTTCTCCTCATTTTGGTTTGACATAAGATACTGACCAGCTGCAATACTAAAATGGGATGGAAAGTACCTCAATAATAGTAGAGTGGCAAAACCTCTGGCTACAGCAGATGAAAATAAGCCCAGATGCAGCAGCTACAAACACACACAAAAAAGGAAAATAACTACTTACCTTTGGAAAGCCTCAGGTAGGCAGGGATTTCCAGCAAGAGATGCCCTCACCTCCCCCTGCCAACCCTTAAATGAGGTCTGAAAAGGGGTGGAGCCAGGATCCATACACCTGAGACCCCCTGGGTTGGCACAGCCTTCTCACCAGGTGCTCCATCACTGCTTCAGGCTGCGACTTGGCATTTCTGCTACGCCAGTAAAATACTGTTGACACAACTACATTGGTGGCCTGAAAAGCGTTTGACTTTGTGTGTTTAAAATGAAGCTGAATGTGTTCTCCTCCTGTTTTTTTCCCTTTGTACAGAACTGCTTGGGATGAAAGAGTCCAAGTCAACAATTCTTTCAGTCTTTCCCAATTACACGTGGACAAAGCAAATTGGCACATCCTAAAAGAAGATAAGACCAATAGGTTTCACTCAGACTTGCTGTGCAGGCACAATTGATTGGAGCATTTGCAGCACATCTGATGTACTGAGGATGAAGTGAACTCTGTGGACGTGCAGATTGTTTTTAAAAGCAGTAATGGACCATCTAAAGCAGTAGGGTTGGGATGCCTTGTTCCACCCCTTACAAGAAATATGGATGTATTTGTATTTTTACTGTGCTTCTGTTTCAGATCAGGAATGTTGGATGCCAGTTTCCCAGCTCCAGCAGTGATGGCAGAAGGTGTATTTGTTGCACAGTCTTTTGTCAGGGTCAGGCAGCGGTGAGGCTAATTGTACACCTCTTGGCTACCCTTTGGTTCTCAAAAAAAATAAATAAAGCTACCAATTCAGAAGGGTTATAAAAAGAAACCTGCGGTGTGATTTTAAAATCCAGAGAAAATAACTGTGGGAATGTGGATGCATGCTTGGTCTGTGTGCTTTCAACCCCACTTAAAAGAGAACTGGTCCTAAGCTGTTGCTCTGCTGTACTCGTTACAGCTCAGCGCTCTCCCCAGGCGTGTGTATTCACTCAGAGCACAAACAGCTGTCAGTCCAAGCTCGCCAAGATTTCCTGTGTGGAGTAATACTTCTGCAGTTATTCCAAGGTGCTTTTCCCAGGGGTAAACATTACATCTCAAATCAGGAGTAAGTACAGCAAAGGAAGAAGAGAATGTCAGAATGTGATTTTGCCTTGGAAGGGAATGACTTCAAAGCTTTCTCATACATTGTCTAAAGGAGCTGACATTTTTTTTCTCTCTAATTTTGCCCCTGGAAATGAATGAGAAGGCTAGAAGGCATATATTCAAATAAAAAAGTTTTCTGTAGGTACAGACACTATTAAAAATGGCTTGGCTTTTGTCAGTTGGTGGGTGCGGACCATCGTATACTGAAGACCATTCAAGAAGATTAACATATGCTTCCTGGAAATCTGCACTTCTCTTTAATCTTCCTTATTAAAATTCTTTCCTGTCTCAGAAACCATCCATGAATCAAGCAAACAAGGCAGCACTTGGCTCAGTCCTGCAGCCTCTTCCTGCCACATGCCCAGCTGTCACATCGCTGAGCAACCAGCTCAGTTGATGCAAACAGGAGAAGGACGTTACCCAACTGTCAGGTGGTTATTCCAGGCAATATGGGCTTTGGGCTAAATATGCCAAACACTTGAACAGGCGATTAACTCACAGCTTTTCCTGAAGTGCAACTTCAGTGCTGAAGAGCACGGCTGAGTAAGAGTGGACATGTTTGCAAGTTAAGAACGTGACTGAGTGAAGAATTTCTGCTCGGTCCCACGACACTGAGATTAGCAGGAGTTCAGCCGGTGGTTCCCCTGGGAGGTGGACTGGATTCTTTGGGCCAAGGTCAGAAAGCATAACAGGCTCATTTGGTGGACAGTGCTGTTTTGCAAGGAGATGCAGAGATGGTAAGATTTGATAGAGGAGCTCAGACAAAGAACTCATAAAGAATGAGGACAAACGTACATTTGTGCTGAGCTCTAACAAAAGTCTATTGAATAGTTGTTCAATCTAGTGGTGTTTTGATTATTTCCATTGTCTCTTGTTTCCTCTATGTGGTTGTGATGCATCCAGGAAAAAATCACGAACATTTGCATTGAGAGTTATCCAGAATTTCCATTTAAAATGATCTACTTTGTTACAGTAATTAGCCTTGTAAGTGTAACAAAGCACACAACATTGACAATAGTTGCTAGTGATCACTTCGCTTCCCAATCAGGCTGCTCCTTCAAGCATTCTAATTTATTTCACTGATGATTATAGGGCAGATGCTGCACTAATTTACACCTCTAGGAAATCCAGGGAAATAAAGCACGAGATCTTACCCAATATGTCTAATCCTAAAGTATTCTGAGTCATGGGAGGGCCCAATCCTAAACGTTTAAACCTGGTATTCAAGTTCTTGTTTATAAAAGACTTACATTCCATAGGTTTATTGACTTCAGTTTCAAATTCATTAACTTCTATCAATTGCTATGAAGTAGGTGTAGCTCTTTGGTACAGAAGTATTTTTTGAACAGTTCCCCAAGTGCCAACCATGCTTTGCAAATTCAGTGGGATGGGCCCACTTAGAATGGCACTGATATGTCTTGAGGTCTCTGAGTTTTCCTTAAGAACAAATAATCTTCAGGTTCGTTCTGCCCATTTAAATCAAAGCATCCAATCATCTCAGAGAGAAAAAAAACTGGAGTTTTCTGGAGAAGGATGATAATAAGGGAGCCTGGTAGGGGGTTTGAATTGCTAATCCTGTGACAGAAATGTGTGTTTTTTATTAAAATATAGATTCTGTTATTGTCAGTTAGTCTCCACAATTAAAATCTCAACTGAATATTAATATTCTACACTTTTTCCACCCTTTAGGACTCCAGGCCACTTCAATTAGTTCCTTCAGAGTGCTCCTTTTCCATCTTTTTACTAACAATCCATTCAATAGACTTTAGTTGTGATTTGTCTGCAAGAGGGCAACATAATCTGTGCAGGTACAACGATGTGGTGTCTGTGTATGCAAACACACACAGACAGTTGTATTTGGGGAGTGCTGGGGAATGCCTCTTATCCATGGTGAGATCCTTAACACTTTCAGTTTTCTCCAGAACACATTGAACTGAGATGCCTGCAGTAAACTTGTATCTAGGTAGAACAACCAAAGGGTTGACTTCTTCATTATTTGGCCAAACAAGTCTCTGTAGGGTCTGGTAGTGCTGCAAAATTTCTGACACACAGTGGAGCAGCTCATGTTGTGGATTTATGCCGATTGGTTCATTTGTGTCTGAGAGGCAGAAAAAAGATTTGTTTGTGAGTCTATGTCCAACAATCATTAGCAGTCTAATCATAGAATCATTAAGGTTGGAAAATACCTCTAAAATCATCTAGTCCAACCGTTGACCCGTCACCACCATGTCCACTAAACCATGTCCCTAACAGTCTAAGCAGCAAGAACAGACTTCATACTTAAATTCTGCTCTGCTGGGATGGGTTTGGAGTAGCTCTATGTATAACATTCATCTGTCCTCCTCACTTCAGGTTCTCTTTCACGAGACAGGGATGGGATAAATGCTAATGTATCCAACAGGACAAAGATGCTTTCATCAGTAGTTGCAAGATGCGCGTTACTGAGAACATAAAATATATTTTGTGTTACCAGAGGGTTAAGATGCTTGTGAGTAGCAGAGTCATTTATCTGCCAAACTCATCCTAGAGGCTTTGAAAACAAAAAGGGGACAGATTTCCTGCAGCCAGTGCTCAGGCCTGTGTCTGCCATGGCCAGCAGCAAGAGAATCCCACTGCAGCCAGCAGCAAGGGGCTCCAGCTCTCCCTGTGCATAAAGCAAAGCTGCCCAAAGTGCAGTGCCCGAGGATGACTGAGGAATTTAGCCCAGCAGTGCAGAGTTCGGCATTTCCTTCTGCTCACAGGTTCTGCAGAAAGGCAAAAGCAGCAAGATCTCGATGAGACCAAAATATTAATTCTCTGTTATTGCATCAAGTTTGACTAACAAGCCGCATGAATAAATCTGCAGTCTTAGTTTCTGCCAGCGCTAAGTTTCTATGGCAACAACAGCCCATCTCATCTTTAGGAATTTCATTAGCAAAGGAGGGGAATGAAACAAAAAAACCACCCCAAATCAAAAAAGATTTGTCAAATTAAGAGCAGCATGTTCCTCCCCTCCTCTTTTTTTTTAGGGAATGTCCACTTGGATTTTTTATCTTTTGTAAAGGTGTTTTATCAAATTCTAATCATTGTCCTAGACAAAAACAAAACAAAAATAGCATTGCCTTTGTCCATCCAAATCAGAGGAGGAGGGATCATAAGCATGCAAACTGGAGATGTGCTGGAGGAGCAAACAGGGCCATGTAGTGCACTCAGCATCCAGATGAGCCCTTTGTATACACATAGCACTATTTCCTCTCCCTACCCCTGGAAATGAGTAGGAGCTGAGAATGAAGGACCTCTTGTAGTGATAGTAGTGGAGGTCCTTGTTGGGTAAAAACACAACAGGGGGAAGAGGCAATGTTTGAGGTGCTACAATTGAGATTAATCTGTTTATATATGTGTGTCTCTGATTATAGAACCTCAGTGTTTGATGTTCCTGATGTCAGAATTGAGTCTGTTGGACTGTTGCACTGGGGAGTTTGGCTTTTGCCACATGTAAGAGGTTAAAAATCCTTACCCATAATACAGAGAGCACCAGGGGCTCAGCTTTCCAACCTCCCTCTGAATCAGTGCTGGAGGGAGATATGGAACCCTGCATGCAGCGCAGGAAGGACACTGACTGCTGTCACTGCTCGTTGTGTCCACAGAGGCCAGAGGGGACATGGATGGGAAACGATGGGTTGGAGGGAAGAGTCAGTTAACAGCAGAGTGGAGAGGACAAGGGCAAAGGAGCTGATTCTGAGAACTTGAGTTAGGGTTTTGGATCAAGGAGGATGTGTTTTAGGCCACTGTTTTTTCTTGCTGTTCACCTCGAGGGAGAATTGCTAGTGGAACAAAATGCTGCAGCTTGTACTGCTATAAAGCAAATAGTTGCCAAAGAAGCCTTTATGAACCTCTTCTCCTGAGTCACGAATACACAGTACACCAGATTCATTGGTGTATTCCCATA